AAATAAAATGGCAGAAATTGTTCTCACAGGTGTGGAGCCTGGACCAAGATGTGAACAGCGCCAGGCTGCCTCCGGGGACTCTAGGGAGGGATCTTTCCTGGCCTTTTGCAGCTTCTGGTGGTTCCTGCCAGTCCTTGCCATTCCTAGCCCTGTAGCTGCATCACTCCAATTTCCCCACCTCCACGTGGTCATCGCCCCTCTGCACCTTTATCTCTGTGTGACGACTCTTCTTTTTTTTTAATTATTATTATTTTTTGTGCATTGTACCGTCAAATCCGATCTGACTGGTACAGGAGGAGATTGTCCCTCCTTCTCCAGCAGAACATCTGGTGGATTTGAACCAGACACATCTGGGATAGCAGTGCAGCTTCTTGCCACTAGGCCACCAGAGCTCCACGACTCTTCTTCTTATAAGGACATCAGGCATATTGGATTTAGGGACGCATCTTAATGGCTTCTGCAAAAATCCTAATTCCAATTTGTGTCATGTTTTGAGGTCCCCAGGTGGACATGAATTTTTGGGGTACACTATTCAATCCAGCACAGACACTCAAGGCAAGCCAGAAAGGATGGGGGTGTGATCTGCAGAGTGGGATTCCAGGAATGGACAAAATTGGGGTTGGGGGAGAGAGAGGATGTCATGGAAGGAAGACGGGCAATCTCCTCATGTATAATTAATGTTGTTGTTGTTTGGTGCCGTCGAGTCGTAGACGACTCATCGTGATCCTATGAACGAACAGCCTGAGCACTGTTGGTACATAGAGTTTCCAGAGGCAAGCCGTTTCGGAAGTGGATGCCGCTCCTGCTCTGAAAACCCACTGGAGGGTCAGCTATGAGTTGATTTGACTCCATGGCTCCTCCAACAGCATCTGCACACCTAGAGTCCAGTGCTGGCTTCTCTTTGCATCCTTGGGTCCTTCACTTACACTCTCTGAGCCTTAGTTTGCTCTTCCGTAAAGAAAAGAAAAAAAATGTATGAGACATTTGAATCAGCACAAAGGGTTTCTCTAAAATCAGAAATCCATGTATGTCTGGTTCTCATGACTTTTCAAAAAAGAATCAGTATTTTAAAATCAAGTAGCTAGTGCAACAATGAATGAATGAAACCCCTAAATCTCTGTAAATGTTCATTAAAATTAATAAAATTTAATTTTAAAAAATCAAGTGGCAAGTGAATCTATAGACAGTGGGTATTAACTCATACCCCTAAGTTTGGAACCTAGGTTTTAATTTTTGCCAATAATCATAATGTCATAGAATGGAGTTTTAGTGGAAGTAGCCTTGAACAAGGGAGCTCTGGTGGCCTAGGGCAAGAAGCTGCACTGCAATCCTGAAGGCACTTGGTTCAAGTCCACTACTTGATCTGCAGGAGAAGGACAATAAATCTCCTGTAGGATTAACTGCCTCTGAAAACCAGCCGGAAGGTCTGCTATTGGTCAAATCTGACTCCATGGTACACAACAACAACAGCCTTGAAGAGCTTGAACTGATAAAATGAATGTTCAACTTAGATTCTGATGTCTGAGAAACCCCATTTAGTGAACTCACTTCTGACAGCAATCTCTCCCTGTATGAAAGCAATGGGGCTGAACAGTTCCAGTGAAATCCCGAATTGTCTGGGAGCTGGAATCAGTATTTGCTCAGCCTGATACACAGGCCCAGAGTAAGGATTCCAGCCAAGGGGTTAAGGTGACTGTTGGCCTCTGGTGCTAGGAGACTGGGGAGGGGGTGAGGAGAGGGAATGACAGGGCATCTCCTATCTATTCAGGGAAGGACATGGAATATTCATTAGAGAGGGAAGGAGTGTAGTAGTCTAGGGGGTGGGGCTGGACAGGCCAATGCCTCACTAACTGCAGCCGCTCCTTCCCACCTGTACCCTGTCTCTGCTCTTTTCTTTCACCGTGACCCTGTGCTTCAGGTAGAAGAGGGTCCCTGGAGTTCAGAAACCTAGCTTTCACTTCTGATCTTTCCTCTCACTGTCTTAAGACCTGGGCAAGGCCCATAGTCTCTCTGGACCTTGGTTTCCTCATCTGCAAACTGGGGATCATTTATAGCCCTTGTCTGCCTTAGGAGAGCAAATGACAGATGGATCTGAGAGCACCTTGTAAAGAAATCACAAAGCTCTCTACAAACAGAAGGCATGGCTGCCAGAAACAGTTACGTAACTGGCTGACAGTGCTGCTGCGCTGGCTCTTGTCCTGTCTGGAAGACAGAGCGGGTTCCATCACTTAACTCACAGCACTTACTTTCCTCGTCTGACAAATGGGCTAAGAGCTTTGATTCTCTGGTTTCAAAGAGTTGTAAGTTCAAAGATCGTGTAAGTGCCAGAGTTCTGATACCTTGTTAATCATAGTAATAATACAGTTCATGCTGTTGGCCTGAATTTGAAGAGCCTCTGAATGTGGCCACATCCTTCTCCTATCCCCGTATCTCTGCAGGGACTCTGCCTGCCCAGGATGAGCCAGTCCTCCTCAGGACCTTTGGCTCCATACACACCAGCATTCAGGCAAACGGAAAGCTGTGTCTGAATTAACACACATGTGGAGCTGACTGCTGCCTCTCAGAAGACATGGGGCTATCAGAATCTCTAACGACACAGTTTCGGTGTTTTTCAGCACATAGTGAAAAAGCAAGTACAACAGGTATTCTATAAAAGGGGAATAAGTGTTTCTAATATCCTCATCCATTGTACCTGGCCCAGAAGTGTCTCATAGATCAAGTTAAAAAAGTACTTCCTTTAGAATAGAAAGCAGTAAAAAAACCTTGAAGTTGGGGAATGAGGCCAATGGACCCGGGTCATGGAGTCAAAGAGCTAGATTTTTTTTTAAATTTGTTTTTTTTTATCATTATTTTGTGTGTCTGTGTACTGTCAGATCAGATCTGACTGGTACAGGAAGAGATTGTCCCTCCTTTCCCGGCAGAGCATCTGGTGGATTCGAACCATGCGCCTCTGGGATTGCAGTGCAGCTTCTTGCCACTAGGCCACCAGAGCTCCAAAGAGCTAGATTTTTGATGAGGAGATGTGTTAGGCAGCAAATCCAGCAGAGGTGGACATTCCTCAGGATTCTGAGGTCTAACTCTGGTGTAGCCCTGTTACTTATTAGCTGGATTCCTCAGGCTTAAGAACAAGTCCCTTAGCTTCAGTTTCCCAAGCATGAGGAAATTCCTATTTACTGACTCACCCTGGTGGTGCAAAAATCAGATGCCACATGTGGAAACCACAATACAAATTTTTATTGAAATTTCTTGAGGTCAGAGCCCAAAGGATTCTAATGCTTGTAGATTTTCCCAACAGTTCCAAAGAGGGCCTGCAGAGGGCACTGTAAACACGGAGCCAGTTTTCCAAAGTGGACCGTCTTCCTTTGGGTCCTACTCCTGCCACAGCTCCCTCCTTAACCCCAGCCTCTCACATACTCGCATACACTCATTATGCATTCACTCTCCAAACCTTCCCTCAACCTGCTGCAGACTGCAAAATATTCTCTCCCTTGGAACGTTTGCAGAAGCAAGGCCACTCACTCATACTTTCATGATATCAGCGTGAGTGGTCCCCTCTACAGGATAATGACCATGATTGGGGTCCAGACAATTTTTGGCCCTCCCTGCAGGCCTTTCCCACATGATACTTTCCAGATGAAACATTACTTCTGGGAAGGAAATCCAAGTCAGAGTCCAGGGGAAAGTTATAGAACAAGGAAATAAGGAGTGGAGCTTGAGTTTGTTCTGTGGTCCAACTTCAGGGAGTAATAAAGATTGGGCACTATGTGGAGGGGATAAGCAGGAGAGAAGTGAGTGCTGTGGAAAGCAGGGGCTCCCATCTTCTTGATCTTGGACAGGCTACTTTATTTCTTCATCTGTAATCTGGGAATGACGGCAGTCACTTTCTCCGGTTGGGTGAGAAATAAGTGAGGTCATATAAGTGAACCACCTAGGGTAACAGGCAGCACTGAGCAAGGACTCTGAGAAGGCAGCTCCAGACCACAGCTCTCTTGCACCTTCCGCCATCCCCAGAATGCAGCACTCCTGTGGAAGGTCCAGGAAGGAAAGTGAGCCGCTTAATTCAGAGGACGCCGGGTGCTTAGGTGGGATCATGGATCAATGGCCAGGGTTGGTGTCTGCTACTGGCCCCAAAAGGGGTCCCTCCTCCTGGCTCTTGTATCTTGATGGCAGTGGCCGCTCATTAAAGGTTTGTCCTGGGCAGAGTTGGCAGCTGTCTACTGAGGAGCAGCCTTGAATGGAGACACCTTATTGACCAGCGTGGGCAGAACTGTGGCCTCCAGCCCAGTGGGGTCAAGAGGTCAGACGGGCTATGCAAAGCAGCACGTAGGGCCTGGCTTCCTCCTCCCTGGATCCCCAGGCTGGCTGCAACGATGGAGCAAAGCCAAGGAAGTCAGTGGCACCCAGGTAAACAGAAAGGCCAAGAGACATGGTGGTGGTTTTCAGGTCTTGCCAATGAGATTGAAACTAGAAAAAGAGACTCCACAAAAGTTAGGGGCCAGCCCTCAAGCCATCTTCACAGCTCCCGCCACCACCTTGTTCAGTGGGCTTCCTGCCAAGAGAGTCCTCATCAGGTCTGCAGAATGCATAGCTCACCACTCAAATTCTCTAGTTCATCCTGCCCCTTCTTAGTAGGTGCTAAAAAGAGTATTTTTTTTTCTCCAAAGCAGGTCCTGGCCTTTCAGTATACATGTGTGTGGGGCTCTGGGCCCTAGGGTGAGGTTAGGTGTCTCCCCAGTACAGTTCTGTCCCTGAGATTACATCTACTCTCCTCTCAGTTCCTCCTCTCTGGGGCCCTGTGACATCTTCCCTTTGAAGAGTTGAGCACTAGACAATTCTTCTGGCCCCTGAGATGTCACCACTGGCCCTGGAGTGTCCCTTGGACAGGCTGGTACTGAGTGGATAGCCCCTTGAAGGGGGTTTGGGAGTGGTGGTGAGGAAGGCATGGCACAGGCAGCAGTGGTCATCGAGGTGGTGGACATGTCCAGGGTGGAAGCACCACGTCACCTGTCCCCTTTTCTGCAGGCCTGTGCCGTGTATAGCTTCAGCTTTCCCCGCAGGAAATTGGAGTAGACTTGGAAAAGCTTGCACAAAGTATCCACGGTGTATATTCGGAGTGGAGAAGCGGAGACTGCATCTGGAATGGAAGTGGCTTCCTTCTGTCAAGGAGAAAATTAGAAGTCACTGCAGTGCCAGGGACCCCAGAGTGAAAAGGAGTTGTGGCAGAAATGGGAGAGTGAAGACAGTTTCAGCATCCCCTAGGGTGGCCTTTGCTTCCCGTTTTACAGAAAATGCAAACATAATGTGAGAGTGTTATCGAAAAGCTGTGGTTCTCAGCCTGCTAAAACAAACAAACAAACAAACAACCCACCCAAAAAAATCAGTCTTGGAGACAGAAGTGGGGTGAGAAAGCAAGACGTGTATTACATACCAGTACACAGAAGACAAGACCAGTATGTACTGTTATATAATAAGAGCTAAAAGGGACCTCTGGTGGCTTAGTGGTAAGGAATTGCACTGCCAATGTAAAGGTATATGGTTTGGGTCCACCAGCTGCTCCATGGGAGAAGAATGGGTAATCTCCTCCAATGCAATTTACTGCCTCTGAAAACCCATCAGGTCAGCTACGGATCAGTTCTGACTCAACAGTACACAATAATAACAACAACGTAAAGGACCTTTCGTGGTAAAGTTATGAGGCTAACCCAAAGGCCACAAACGTCTCTGGCAGATTGAATTCACTATACTATATAAGGTGGTAGCTGCTTGTTGTTACATACCGTCAACTCAGAGCTGACTTAGTTCTCAGAACCCCCTAGTGGGTTTTCAGAGGCAGCATATCAGACAGAAGACTATCTTTCTCCAGAGGAGTAATTGGTGGATTTGAACTACATGCCTTTTGGTTTGCAGCCCAACTCCTTACCACCACAGACCCTGTTGCTTTTATCCCCCCAGTAGCTGAAAAGAAAGGGCTAGTCTGTTATTATCGCATGTGTTAGTTGCAAAAGGGTGACCTTTTGTCTGAGGTATTATAAAAATACTGTATTGAAAAAGTTAGTTTTCTATTATTTTATTGCCACTTGCAAGAGGAGTCTGTTTCTACTCACGTGGGTTCCCAGCACCCGAAGCAAGGAGGTGAGGCTGCGTAAGCCACTGACGGCTTTGTCCATGTGGAGCCTCAGGGTCTCTGAGGGCTGAGAGGAGTTGACCAATAGGGCTTGACCCTGAAGGATAGCGTCTGAGAGTAGGGCCAGCCCCTGCCAGACTTCCATGGCCTGCTGACCAACCTAGAGGGATCAGAGACATGGAGTTAGCTGGAGTGCCGTCAGTTCTGTGAGGCTGTAGGCAGCCTCCAAACACCCAGCGTAGCTAACCACAGATATTCAATAAAATTTCTTGAATGGATTGGATGGATGGATGGATGGATGGATGGATGGAAGGATGGACTGCATTCAGCCCTCCCCTCTACTGCTCCGTTTCTTCTTTCTCTCATTCCCCTTCCCATCCCAATCAGGCTCCCAAAACGAGATTCCCTGGAAGAAAACATGAACTCACCTCCATCTTATTCCAGGCGTAGAAGTTGACTTTAGTGTCTGGGACGGTGATGTTGTCCCTCAGGCTGTAGTCTTCTGCAGAGTCCAGCTGAAATGTGCATCACAAGGGCTCAGACCCAGGGAGTCCAGCACCTGCCCATCCACCCACCACGGAATGTGCTGGCTTTGTCCATGCTCCAACTTTTCTAGCTTCAGGAATACTTTAGATACCACCAGTTTTGTCACTTTGGGGGTCTGACTTGTCCTCACTCAGTTACTGTATCTGGAGGAAAACGCCCGTGCCCAGAGAGTGAGGTCCATCACACGTGCTGGGAAGGGCCTCACCGTGACATTTTCTGCCTCCATGGCCTCAAGGATGTATCTCTCCAGGACTCGGCTGTCACAAATGAGGCGCGCTGGGGAGCCCAGGACTGGGAGGCTCAGCGGAAGTAGCAGCAGCAATGGCAGCTGAAGCAGCAAGGCAGGGCATTCTGGAAGAAGGAGCAGGGGAGCTGAGTGTGAGGCGTCGCAGGGAGGAAGAGGGCTGGTTTGGAGGGGCTGACCCACACATCCTGCTCTCTTGTCCGAAGCCCTTCCTCTTGACCCCAGGCTTCCCCGGCTGCGCTCAGATGTGGCCTCTCACTCACCTTCATTCAAACGCCCTGCGGCGCGCACACCCCACCCCCTAACTACCGGCATCCACTTCTGGGGCCAAACTTCAACCCTGGTGGACAGCGGCAGCCCGGGGCAGTTGCTCCAAGACCCGCGTTTCAGCTTGCTCTCCACCCCTCTGCACAGCGGCCCCTCTGCTCCTAAGACCCACACACCTGTCCTAGTCTCCAGGTCAGACTTTTGCCTTCCAGTGCTGGGACTGGGGATCGCCAACCGCTGTGGCACGTGCAGGCTGTCCCACCCCTCCCCCTTACAGGGTCCCGGGCAAGTCGTGGGTCCTTGAACCCAACCACCTCCCGGTCAACAGCCCCCGCGGTAAATCCCTCTGCAAACAGGGCTTGGGGCAGGCAGGCCTCAGTCCGAGGGACGGTCCCCTAGCCTGTCCTGGGGAGACTCACCGTGCACCCCCATCTCTGTGCCTGCGTGGACCCCTCAGTGACTAGGGGCTTGACCGGCGCCCATGGCGGGAGCCGTCATCCCGGGAAGCTCGGCGGGTCAGGGCCAACCCCAGGGGCTTGAAGGAGCAGGTCACCGAGCAAGGGGCGCAGGCACGTCGCGGCCGCCGAGCCAGGGGTCGGATGACAGGGAGCGCAGTGGCCCGGGCCAGGGTCCGGGAGGAAGGCGCCACGAAGCGACCGGTCAGCGGTGGCTCCGGGGACTCTGCGGCTCCAGCCGGGGGTCGGGGTTGTTATCTGCATGTGTGCGTGCGCGTGTGGGGGTGGGGGTGAGGGTGTGCGCGTGAGGGGTCGCGGGAGGTGGGGGCCACGCGGGGTCAGAGCAGGGGTCAGGACGCCTGGGTCTGGGGCTTGTCCGGGGCGGGAACGAGGGCTGCGCCTGGCCGGGTGCGCGTGGGTCGGTCTGCAAGACTGCTGGGCTCTGAGTAGAGAAGGCAGCGGGGTGTGTGCACCGCCTGGACCTGGGACAGGCTGAGGACAGACACGTCTGCTGTGGGGTTCCCAGTTTGGGACAAGGACTCAGGGCCAGGAGAGCCTGGCTTCCTGATAAGGAGCTGGGTCTGGAAAGGGGACCCTGATGGCTGGGAATGGTCATTCAGCTGCCTTCTCAAAATACCTGTTCTAGAAAAACAGAGCTATCTATCTGTGTCAAAATAAAATAGAAAATATATTGGGGGCACAATTTGGCGTCCTTTCCTCCTGTGTCACTCTCTGGGGACCCCCAAAACACATAACCCTAATTCTTAGGACAGAGAACACACGGTATGCAGGGGATACTTGCTCTTTTACATGTTTTCTACCCTTAATATAAGCTAGCCTGAATCAAAAGATTCTTAATAAATCTGAATTGAGGGACCCCCAAAAAATTCACAGGGGTTGGGATTGGCAGGTGAGTCTTTGTGGCTTCTGGGAGTTCTCCCTGGACCCAGAATCCAAGGCTAGCTGGCCTCTCAAACTTTGGAAGATGTCTTCAATCCTTGTACCTCAGTGTCCTCACCTGTCAAATGGGTGCAATAGAAGTGTCAGGCCTACCTCACAGAGGTTCCATCAAGGTTTTACAAGTGTTTGCAATCCTTCAGTTGCTACCCTGTCTCATGATAGTAAAACAACTAAAACCATGACCATCATGTTGGTTCTGATGCACAGGGACCCTGCACTGGGGTCCCAAGGCTGTGAATTTTTATGAGAAGACACCACCCCCTTTGGACTCTAACCACAGACTTTTCTATTTATTAACAGCACAATAGGTAATTCACTACGCCACCAGGGTCCTTGTGCTATGATTTTGATGTTGTTCTTATTGTTATATGTACCCTTAAGGCAACTAAGACTCACAGCAATCCTGTGCTGAGTGGATCTAACCATTACTCTCTCCTGTGCCATCCTCACCATCTCCGAGATACCTGAGCCCATTGTTACAGTCATCATGTCAAACCATCTCTTTGAGGGTCTTCCTCTCTATTGCTGACCTCCCCCCCATTTCCAAGCATAATGCCCTTCTCCAGGGATTGGCCTCTCCTAACAACATGCCCAAAGTCTGTGAGACAAGTTTCAACATCCTTGGCTCCAAAAATTGTTCTCTTGGCAGTGCATGGGACAGACAGTACTCTTCTCCAATACCACAACTCAAAGGCAACAATTTGTCTTCTGTCATTCTTATTCAGTGTCCAATTTTCAGATGCATAGCAATGTAATCAAGAAGATCATGGCTTGGATCAGACACACCATAGTCTTTAAGGTGGTATCATTGCTCTTTAGCATTTTGGAGCAGTCTCTGACAGCCGATTTTCCCAAAGAGACACTTTTTTTAAATTTCTTGAGTGCTGCTATGAAAGGTGTCAATTGTAAATCCATGTAAAAGGACATTTTTTTTACTTCAATCTGTGATTTTACAGATACTTAATTCATGCATTCACTCCTTGCTTTGTATAAAACTTGAGTATAACCTTGGCAACACAAAAGAATGTGTAAAACCTAGCTCCTGCCCTCTTGCAGTCTGCAGTTTATATGCAGAGATAAGATGAGTACACAGGGCAGTGGGCAGTATCCCAGAACTCGGGTGTGCAGATCCAAGCTGTAAAAACTTGAAAGTGGAAGAACTCACCTCCAACTGGCTGAATAAAGAGGGGACATGATGGAAGGGATGTCTAACTTAGCCTTGATGAGCAGTGGAATTTCTACCGGAAGAGATGTGAGGTGGGTTGAGAGTCAATTTAGCAAAATAAACGGAAGGTGGGACCTGGTGGGCCATTTGGAAAAAAGAAGTGAGAAATTAGGTTAGGGCACTAGACTAGAGAGGGGCCAAGTTACAAAGGGCCTTGAATGATGCTTTAAAGAATTTTAATTTAATTTGGGAAGAATGGGAAACATTCATTCAAAAAAATATCTGTAGAGTACCTGTTCTTAATAAAGGGAGCTCTGACAGCAGTTGTTCATAAGGCCTTGCACTGCTAACCCCAAGGCTGTCACTCTCTGGCCAATGAACTCCATCATCAACTATGCAGGAGAAAGGGGGACAATCTCCTGTGCAATTTACAGCCTCAGAAACCCACTGGAGGGTCAGCTGTGAACGAATCCCTACCCAAAAGCAAGGGGTTTAAGTTACTGTTAAGAAAGGAGCTCTGGTGACCTAAGCTGTGGAGTGTGGCACTCACTGCTAACCAAAAGGTTACACCTCCAGCGGTTCGAATCCACCATCTGCTCCAAGAGATAAAGAAGGGCTGTCTCCCTCGGTAGGATTTACAGCCTCAGCCAGAGATAAACACACACAAACCAGCCTTTAACAGCTGCATGGATGATGTGACCTAGGAGTTTGGGAGCAGAACAGGAGAGGAGATGCAGTTTGGTTCCTATTGTAGATGGAAGGAACAAGGATCAAAGGAGGAAATGCCACAGACGTCAAGTGCCATTAATCAACTGCCTGTGAAATCCATAAAGGAAGGTTTTCTGAAGTGCCAGGAAATGAAGCGGCTTTTCCTAGGCACAAGTGCCATGGTCACTGTAGTGGAGGGATGCCCTCAGGGGGAAACAGCCGCTGAGACATCAGGGCTCAGTCCTAAATCTTTCTCTGAATCCTTTGTTTTCCAGAACGATCATGGAACGGCAGCTTTCAATACCAGTTGACACTGCCAAGTTGCTTCCTTTAGAACTGGAGAGATCTGAGTGTAGGACTGGACATTCGGAGGAGATAATTTAGAGGTCTGACCAGTTAATGGCTCCCTAAATGGCACTATATTGCAGCTTGATTTATTTTGCCGCCAACAGGGCAGATGGTCTCAGATTGCTTACATACAGTCGTTTATGGTTTTGAGAGAACATCCTGAGTTATGTGAAGAAAGGAAGTTCATTATTCCTCTCAGACCTGTGGTAGCAATAACCAAGGACACTCACAAACCCCAGGCAGTGACTTCTTCGCCATATCAGGAAGATAAAGCACCTGTTGAAAACTCCCCAAGCGCCTCTTGAAGAGGAGACTTTAATTTCTTCTATGATTCAAAACCTATAACCTGCTATATGTCCCCTCTAAGAGGTTGCTGTTGTTTTGTGCCATCGAGTCGCCTGTGACTCATAGCCACCCAATATTCATTAGCTCTGAACTCTGTCCTATCCTGAGCCAATCTCATCGCCTCTGGCAGACCCAACCAATTTCTCAGGTCACTGAGTCAATCCATCTCATCCTGGGTCTTCTCTTGCACTGTCCCTCCACCCTTCCAAGCATGATGTCTCTCTCCAAGGACTTGTCCTTCCTGGCCACATGCCCAAAGCATATGAGACAGAGTTTCAAAATCCTTGCTTCTAGGAAGAGCCTGATTTCACCCTCTCCAGGACAGAACTGTTTGTTCTTCCTTGGTCATTGTTCACTTTTCTGATGCATAGACTATGATTTCTGATTGTGAAGACTATGGCCTGGATCAGGTGCACCTTAGTCTCCAGATCAACATCATTGCTCTTCAGTACTCTAGAGAAGTCCCTGACAGCTGAATTTCCCAATGCAATTTGTCTTTTAATTTCCTGACTGCTGGTAGGGAGGTCTAATGGAAACGCTATGCAAGTCCATGTTCCCTTTAGTTATGAGAGATTTAAAAACCCACTACCAGCTGCTCCACAAGAGAAGGATGGGAAATCACCTCCCATGCAATTAACTGCCTGTGGAAACCTGCTGAGGGTCAGTTATGGGTCGATTCCGACTCCATGGTACACAACAACACAACAAAGACAGACGAGGGAGTTTTCCCCAGGATCTGAGCAATTTATAGAGGAGTTTCAGAATCTTACTATTAATTTTTATTTAACTTGGAAAATTTGAGTTTTGCTCTCTCCTGATGAGACACACAGACTTATCAGTGCTGCTGGACACAGGACTGATAACATGCACGTTACTAAGTCACGGTTAGCAGATGGAGCTCAGGCAGTCCATGAGAAAGACGCCCTCTAGAACTATCTCATAAATGGAATAAGAGATATTCGGGTGAAGCCTGTGAACTACTCTAAACCAGCAGAAATACACAGGCTGAGAAGCCCACAGCATTTAGGAAGAGGCTGAGAGAAGCAATAGGAAAATTCACTAACTTGAACTCTGAGTCCTATGAGGGAAGATGAATTCCCATTTTATCAATCATTCTGCCCCTGATATCAGGAGAATACTTCAGGAAAAAAGTTTTAAGTCTTCAGAGTGACTCCAATGAACTTCTGACGGCTGCTATTTCAGTGTTCAACAATAGAGACTTGGAAGATTTAAAAAAAAAAAGGACCAGCTGAAAGCCAAATTTCTTGTGGCTACTATTGCAGAAAATTTAAAATTCCAGTCCTCCTCATCCAGCAGACGTGCTCAAACACCGCGGTTCCGAGGCCGTGCTTCCAGTGTGGGAAGCCTGGTCACGTAAGCTGTGAGTGTCGGAAGGGGCTGCAAAGAGCAAAGGGGCAGAAGGGAAGCTTCCTGTCACTTGCCCCCAGTGC